ATTTCGCGGCCTTGATCCTTCGGATGGTTGAGACAGCGAGCGCACATCAGGCGTTATGGGAGGACGCTGGTTTCACGGTTGCTGCTCACCAAGATAGTACGGACCTTGATTCGGTCCCTAATACCGCTCAATATTTCCTTGGCTTCACCCCAAAACAAATTTGCGATGATATTCTTCCCCAGTATCGTATAGTTCATGTGGAATCTATCATCCGAAACAATCTCGCCAGAAGGTTTGTTCAGTACCAGGACATACTTCGGTCGAGACTCATGCAACGACCACTATCCGAACTCGCGCACTCCGTTCCTCCTGAGCACCGACGATCCCGAGGGAATGTTTCAAACCAAAAGGAGGATCTAGTCGAGTACATTCTTCGTCCAAAGCTGACCTTCCATGGTACACGCGCCGACCTCGTCCCTTCCATCGTTCAATATGGTTTTTTGAAACCAGGTTCTGTTCATCCCGCAACTGGCGCCTCACTACCCGTTCGGTGTGGAAGTACGTACGGTCGCGGAATCTATTCTTCTCCCAGTCCCAACTTTTCCCTCGCGTATTCTGGGCCCCAGTGCGAGGGCACCAAACCCGGTGGAATCCCTGGTCTCAAACTAATTGTTTGTGCGACTATCATGGGCCGCTCTGTCCAGATGTATCGTAAAGATAACTGGCGTGAACAAAGCAAACCCTATCCTAATTCCGATTCACATATTGCCAATGATGGTCAGGAATATATCGTATTCGACAATGCGCAGATCCTTCCTTGTTATGTCGTGCACTTGCATTGGGCGACTGAAGAGGAAGCAGACGAGTACGTTTGGAGTAATCTTGGTGGTAATTCCACGCAGAGTCGTACAAAGTCGTTTAACAAAAGACCGTGGCTGCAGAGTCAGGAACTTTCGCCTGGAGAGAAGCAGAGGTTTAAAACAGGAAAGGTTGGCGCAAGCGAGAAAATTCTTTGCGTATGGATTTGGACCGGTATCTGGTAAAAACATCGTTATCGAGGATATCGCGGATATTGATGATGACGAAGAAGACTATGGAGAATACCAAGTTGATCGGTTGGATGATGTACAAAAGGTGGATATCTGGGGAGCAAATCGACTAGAGGGAGAGACGGAGAAGGACGAGTATAGCTCGCAACGAAAGGCCAAATATAGATGGAGAGGAGACGCAAATGATGTTGACGAATAACGCATTGCTTTACCGTCTATACCCTTTCTGTGAATGCGATACCCCGTTCGGCCTACAACTCGAGATTATAGGATGTATTATACACATTATATGCAGTCTTTTAGCATAGCTCCTCGTTTAGCACACGAGCCTTTCCTTTCTAATGCAGCTGGCTGCAAACTCCCTTAATCATATCTCAAGACATGAGCATGAGTCATCATGCATCAACAGCGAGTCGTCGTCTTTAATCTGACTTGCTGTGCTCGAGAGCATTGACTGAACGTTCGGTACAGCCGGGTTGAGAAGACCTGCCTGCTTTAGTCGTAATCTAGTTCATCCACAGGTGACCATCCAATCTGGCGTAAGACGTCCGCGTGTTTCATTGCACTTGCAAGACATCTCAAAAAACTCGCCGAGCCCTCTCCCAGATTGAGTCGCTGGTAGTGCATAACATTCCTGTCTCTTGTGCTCTGCATGTGCGGGTATATGCAAGGGTTTCGCGGGTTTCTTTGTATATCTGTTTTCACGATGCCTCGCATGGTTTTCGCTGAAGAGAGCATAATACAGTTCATTCTTCAGGTACGACATACCGGTACACACATCTGTCCTCCTCCTCCTCAAGTCGAGATTTACGCATCCCCACCTCCTCCGTCCTGAAGAGACAGACCCGCAATCCTCTGTTCCTCTGCAGCCAAGTCCTCTTCCTCCTTCTCTTTCCTGTACTGGGTCAAGTCCCAATCTTCTCCACCGTCGTCGTCTGAGTCTTCGAACCATTCCGGGTTGTATTGGAACTAGACGTAGCGGAGCAAGCAGAGGATTTTTTGGTCAGCAAAACAGTATTTAGGGAACGAAGGGGGGGTAGTAGGGAAAGACGACGCACCAAATCTCTTCCACTCATACCACTGTTCTTGCCAGCAGCATGTGCCTGGTCTTTCACCTTGCGTAGGGTTTCCTCCTCTGCTTGTTTTTTGTCCATCCGAGTCTTCTTCCATTGAGCGAACGTTTCTGGCGTGACTGGGGTGAGATTTGAGCCAAGCTTGTGTCTCTGTTCCATGAGAATAGATTAGTTGTAGCGGGAATAGTGGGCCTGACGAGAGACGGTAACGACGTACCTCAACCTCCAGGAACTCTTCTATACTAATGACATTGGCCTTTTCGGCTTCCTCCTTGGCTTTCCTTTCCGATTTAAGAACGAAGCCAGGTGGAAGAGCGTGTCGATATTGACAATTTTCACCGTTTGGACATTGCCAGAACCAACCGTACCTGGAAACAAAAAAGTAAAAGTAACGAGATCAGTAAACCGAAGTCAAGAAGTGGAGAGAAAAGGGATGAACCCTACTTTTGGGTCTCAATGGCTTGGATGAAATATTTGCAGACAATCTGCAGAGAAGATAGCAGTCAGACCGAGATGCACTAGGATGGAAAGCTTCGCTCACATCTGTTGTCGTCCGAGGGTTTCCTGCCTTGGAAAGCACAACGTTCCTTAACTTTTCGTCGTCCCATTTGTCCATCGTGTCTATTCACATTATCACCGTTAATGTCCATAAGGCGCCAAACACAGGGACAGAGTAAAACGCACCAGCCATCTTATCCTCCCTACTATCCTCATACAAATTCTTCTTCTCCACTTTCCTCCCCACATCCAGATCATGACTAAATTTACACTTGCTTCCCTTATCGCACTGACCAGCCTTGAAATACGCACACAAGACTGTCTTGGGATCGGCTCCGAACGGTATTTTCTGTGTGATGACAGGCCGTAACAACGCATCTTCCTCTTTCTTCTTCTTTTCCTCTTCTGCTTGAGCCTTTTTCCGGAGATCTCTTTCCTTCTCTTTCTCTAGCAGGGCTCGAGATTTGCCAGCATTAGCTGTTTGAGCTTGGATTCGTTGGACTTCTTTCTGGACCTTGGCCGATTTGTTTTTCTAACAAAAGCAAAAAATCGCACAAAAAAAAGAGAAGACGGACGGGAAGGATTTTAGTGGGTGCGGTTTAGAGGACAGGGTTGTATGGAGGGAAAAAACGAACATTTTTCATTCCAAAGGTCTACATGGTGCAAAAGGAATGGGCTAGGTCAGCGTCAACCACGCAACTAAGGATGAAAACGTGGACTCTGGCAAGGTACCTTGTCTTCCTTCACTTTGGAAGAGCTAGCATTCTGTTGCTTCTTAGGAGGCATTTTGAGTGGTTAAAATGTGGTCGTACAAGAGATAGAAGCAGCAGTAGAAACGACGTGAACGTTGTCGATGATGGTGGGCAGGGAAAATTGAGTGGCTGTGCTGCCTCATAAGACCGACGTCACTGTGTTACCCTCGACGGTGAAAAGACGACAAATGGGGGCATGAAGCACTGCAAGCCAAAGACTGGAGAGCAAGAGCTCTCTAGGTACAACTAATATACTGCAAGATAGTTTAATGTACTATATATTGTACACTTTAAGCAAATCTTCTAAATCTTTCGTCCTACTCAACCCAACCAGTCATCCATCTTATCCCAAACCGCACTCTGCTCTGCCGTCCACTCATCCCTCTTATCCTTCACACAGTCCTCACATATACCCTCTTTAACCCAATCGATCCCCTTGAGCATTTCCAATGATTCGATAGGGTGACAAAGTCCGCTATCTGCCAACACCGGTGTGATAACAAATTCCATCCATTTGTCTGCAATCACGTCCGTGCATGCCATATGCGAAGTGGGAGGTGGAGTGAAAATGACGGGCGTGAAGTAGGTCGCGAGGTTTTCCATCAGAGTGTTTCCCCGAGAAGCGATCTTGTCTGCTAATTCCTTCTTCACGTGTATGGGGAATGAGTCCAAGTTGGATTGAGCGACGAGATGGTATAGAAGAGGTTTGATGGCCTACAGGAAAGTCAAGTCTTATGGATAAAAATATCAGAGCTGACCACCAGAAGGAGGACGCACGGTTTGAATATCGTATTCTAGAGCGAGAGCGGCAGCTTCCTGAGCGTAATCGCATTGAAACGTCGCGACTTGATCTGCATTCTTGGGAAACAAGGAGATAAAGCAGGTCTTTGTTTGTTCGTGAAGTTCTGGGAAATCAAGCTGGTCGGGGCTTGATATTCGTAGCAGCGATGCTATCCGTTGGAAATCCGATTCTGCAGGAGAAAGAGTACTGGGTTATCTGTGGGTAGCAAGTATTGAGTGAGGGCCTAAAACAATCGATGCTTACTGGTGTCCATAAATGTGGTCCAACAAGACTATGAGATCCTTTCCATCTGCGACGCGATCTCCATCTAGTACCACATATTTGCATGATGAAAGATCTGTTTCCAGGTCTGCCTGCTTGGGATAATCGCTCAAGGTTTGCGCTTGAAGTCGGGACATGATTGTTGGCGAATACGCAGTCAGTCGAGAGGGGTGGACCTTAAAAAGCACATCGTTCCCGTCTTCGGAAGATTTTGGATGTAAGATAGTATCTGCATCATCGAACCAGTAAACAGGATGTTTTTGCAGCATTGTTGAGTAGGTCGAGGAGGATATGAGTTATGGATTGCAAAGACCAAGGTCATAAAGTCGTCATTCGATTTACATATGCCGGGCCGCCTCCGGCAAGATGCACGAGCCTACGGACGCTGTCACTCAGATACATAGCGCAACGCATCACCCGTCAATGTCTCCATCAACCAACTTTTTCCTATGATCTGGACTTCCCAAAACTCTCAGGAATGCGCCATGCAGACCAAGAGTTTTTCCCCACTGCAACTACCATGTGTACTTGAGTGTCAGAAGCAGATGGTATGTAGCTGAGTCTATGCTCGTCCATCAGCTAGACCTAATTTAAATATACGATAAAAAGCGGGACTCTTCTTGATGGGCCTGACCGGGAATTGAACCCGGGACCTCTCCCATTTGTGAGTCGCTCATCGACTGGGGCTAACCCGAAGGGAGAATCATGCTACTAGACCATCAGGCCGTAACTAAAGTGGCCGTAGATCTCCTAATTGTGTCGAAGCACCTATTTCACGCCTTTTTTTGGATCAGTCCTCTTGCTAAGTCTATGATGTATCAGTTGCCCATAGATCCTCAGTAAAAAGCTATCAGTCAGAGTGCGGATGTCCCCCACGTTCGATTCAAGTTTGGCAAGTCTGACCCAAAGCTCAACTGGTTTGTATCACGGCAGGTCAAAGTGGGTCACCTATCCAAGTAGCACCGTATTGTTAGTGACTAAAACCTAATATAGTTTAATGATCGTACGCTTTAAACACCTAAAAGCTCAAAAGCGATGAGTGTTGATAGATCCCCAAAAATTGACACGTAACATCTTAGCCACCACTGGGAGTGATTGTATGATTTAGACTTCACTAGAAAAGTTCAACAGCGTGACAGACTCCCAAATAATTGACACATTCGTCATAGCTATTGCTGGCAACGATGGTATTGTATGAGTTAAAGCTCCACTAGAAAAGCTCAGTGGCATCAGGAAGTGTTGACAGATTCCCAAATACTTGGCACATGCTGTTACTGGCTATGCAATACCCAAAATATCAACAGATTATTGATATACATCCTGATTTTCCTTGCTTTGGCCGCAATAGTCTTACGAACCACGATATTGGATATCGTACTGATCCGCGGGAGATCTAGATTCATCCCATAGATATTATTGGTTTTCGGAAAAAGCATGGATCACAATAGTACTCTGCCTCAATTCGAACGAAAATCATCAGTATCAATCATTCGAGGGGGTTATTCAAGGCATGTATGCTACGTCACTCGAACACTTAAAATCTAATATGTATATCCTGCAGCTCAAAATTTTGTGGTTGATGTTGATGAGGCCCTGTTGTTAACCAAGGTGGTGATAAGTGTAAACATCGATCGGACTAAGCCGAGATGTTTTACCGGCCCAAAGTTTACAGCAAACGGATTGATCGTAGACCGTTTTTGGAGCTATAGCTACTTGACTGCATTTGGTAATGGTTACTGGATACCTTTTTTGGGAAACGGTCTTTGGTTATTCCGTTTGCTGTAAGAGCTCGTTTGGATTTTCGTCAAGGCCGAGTGCCCCGACAACACCGACATCTCCAGTTTTTCAAAGGTACTATTAAACTTTGGGATCAACGAAACGCGTATTAAAAATGAAGACATTATGTCTGTAGATATGTACCACGTATCTATGCGTGAAAATTCTCAAGCTACAGCTAGAAAAACGCAGGGGAAGGGGATTACGATGACATTTTCTCGAAGAGCTCGGTGATCAGAGTAACTCTGTCATTGAGAATGTTCGATATATCTGCGTTTTAGATTGATCTCACGAGACTCGGTAAGAGCAGACTTCATCTAGTTTCAACGCTGTAGTTCGACTTATAGCTCGAACAGAACGATAGAAAGATAGCGATAAGACGATCGGGAAGACGAATCGAACTTGTGAGAAAGATGCAGTATAGAACATTAGGTATATGTTAAACAACTAATGGATAGTCAAGAGTCGAGTGGCGCGATAACGAGTGGCGTCCGTGAGACGCAGGATATAGCATATAGGACTAATTTTCCACTTTTTACCACATTCATGTATTTCAATGGGATCTGACAGGGAAGAGTGGCAAATAGAGGGGTTATAGGACAAAGAACAATGAACATCAATAGAAATGCGGATGTTTGATACCCAGAGGGTGGTTCTTCCTCTGAGTTTTCAATCCCGCCTCTCCCGGACGCTCTCGTGGACCATAGTTACCACCAGCTGAAACGGTGGCGCATACGTTTGTTGGCACTAATTTTCAGGAACATCAAAGCCCGACATACATACTGACAAGATGTCATGCATTCCTGTCGGCTCTGAACAACGATTTATGGAGTCTTATCAGAATTTCGGGATTTTCTGAGAGCCCGCTAGAGTCATTCGGTGATGAACAAGTAAGCGACGGGTAGGGTATGGTGACGACACGCAGCCGGTGGTAACTACTTGTGCTATGAGTGACCCTATGTCGGAGGAACCTAGTGGGAGCGGGAATATGGTAGGAAATTAGAAACAAGCCTCTTCCTAAGAAAAAAACGCTTCTGAAAAACCGCCCTCTCGAGAATCTTGAATGAAGTTTCTTGAACAGAAGCGAGGATGACATGTTTGGGTACTTACCGGAATCCGAATGCTGTGCCGGAAATTGGTTGAGGACTTGAGACAATATATCCTCTTATATCCTTGTGGCATATATATCCTGGCGGCTGGACATTATTTTTGTAAGTTATATTTAAGGTCTTGATGTTTATGATTATATATTCACACTGAAGGATTGTGTTGTGAGGATTTTTATAGTGTTTTCGAGTCAGAAGTATAAGATAAATTATAAATTATAAATAGTCTAAAGAGGTCTACTGCTGAATATTGAGTTTGCGGATGTGGAACGAACTTCGCGATTTTCTGTCTTGTCACATGTCACGTTGAAAGTGTTCTGCCAGCGCGAAAAATGCCATAATAGTTCGCGGCAACTGAAAATAACCGCAAGTTTACGCGATTTAATTTTGCTTCGGATCCCGTGGCATACAACACAGTTCAATGATGACCATGAATCCAGAAAAACCTTTGAAGCTGCTCGTGAACGGTGTCGATAACGAAAGCCTCTTCCACGCCGCTATGGGTGGCAGCCCCTCGCTGAGCGTTACACCCGATTTCAATAGCACAGAAGTTGAGAGTCTGTTCAATCAATTTGCCGCTTTTGCGTAGGTCACTTCATCCAACACTTTTCTTTTTCCTCTACCTTCTCGATTCCTCTAAATTCTCCTTCGAATCCAACCCGACTCAACGTTTACTCACTGTTCTTCACACCCTAAATTAGAAATTGCGGCACTAACAAAGACGTCTTGGGCTCTCTCCGTGCGACAGACTTGGCCGATCTCACAGACGCCTGGGATGGGTCAGTAGCGAACCGAACTTCGACCATATTAAATTCCGCCCCGATCTCAGACGGAGAGTTTATTGATCTGAGACATGGAGTACATAGGATGGGATAGATATGCCAGTCTGTACCTCAGATTACAATTACAGTTGATAATGAATATGTAACTGAGGTGCTCTAATAAAGAGTGAAATAAATTATTCTTCCTATCTAGTATTTTTTAAAAATATATGCCTTCTTGCCAAGTTCTTTTATTAAAAGCGGGACTGCGATGAGCTACATAAGAGCTGAGCGCAGCATCAAAACACACAGGGTCATAAAATTAGATATTTGAGCATAGATTACTGATGATGGATGGACGACGCTGACAACGGATTGAACTTTCGATCCTCTTTTATGTCAGAGTCAGTGTTGATAGCGCTGTGCCAGGAATTCGAGTCAACGGCCGATGTTGGGCTGATGAGCGAGGAAGCCGTTGTGACACGTAGTGACATAAATCACATGATGTCATACATTGTTCGGTCAAATTTCAACCTGACCCGTCCGGCCTACCGTAATAAGAGCCTTTGTGATCACCCAATCTAGTTTCCTTATGGCAAGTGATAGTCATTGATCAAAACTAAAGTAGAGTCGCTACCCGCATTTGGATACGGGAAGCTTGGAGTTCGGAATGAACTGTGTCCAGAGGTCTTGTCCAAAGCGACGTACGATATATAGTAGACAATCTCATGATGCATGTTATCAAAGAGACCCTTTCCAAACGAAAATTTATGCATTACGAGGTCCTTTGCATGATCAGATTTTTATAGCACTATTTCTTAATTGGGAAGGAAACTGCAGATACCTTGCTCAGGTTGTCACTATTTTATCCAATGCGTGCTACTTCCTGCATATAAAATAATCCAACATTGCTTGCTCTAGTGAGTCAAAGCGAAATTCTCCTCATTGCAGCCACACCTTGGGCCTGCCACAGCGTGAGAGTTTGATGAATTCTGATTCCTGTGCAGGTGAAGGCCCCTTTTTCCTTCTGCTCCTCATCCTCATCAACTCTAGTTCTTGTATTCAATGTCTCCCTCATGGCAGTCACTTAAAAGTTCTCGGTGATCTTGGTCGGTTTTCAGATCTGGTTGCCCGGAATGTCACCATAACCCTTGATGTATGCATGAACTACCCCTAACCAAGTAAGGAAGAATGGGCATTGTGAGATAATCAATATTATGGATGATGAAATCTTCTACTGTATGATTGGGATCGGTCTATTTGAGATGATTAAAAGGCAAAGCATGAGATCTCTTCGACCCAATCTTTGTTTGAGCACATAGAGATTCAAGAGCGAGATCTCCAAAGACATCATGAATTTTGGCTGGCTGAACTATGTGCCAGTGATGTTGTCACGTATACCTCGTTGGGAGCTGTTTCGACATCTGTGGACACTGTTACCTCGCATTTGAACATCAAAGAGAGCGTAGAAGTACGCATTCTAATGACAAGGTATACTAGGGCCACATCCAAAGTCCGAGATGTCCGAGTTAAGTTGCTTCACTTTTGAATAACGGACGTGCTGCGTATGACCCGTGTTACTAGATGCTTGCTTGATGGTAAGTAAGAATACATGAATGCATGAAAATTAAAATAATTTAACTGGTAATTACTATTAAATATCTTGAATAAATTAGATTCAACTCCTTCGATAGGTTCCGGTACATTATAATTAGCTCAAGCCCGTAGTTTAGGAGTATATTACTGCTCAAGTGCTCAAGTTGTAACGAGTTTTTCTCTCTGTTGGTAGCATAAAAGGTCACTTCAAACAAAATCAATATTGATAACTTGCAACAAATGATTCTGTACATACCCCATAAACTGTGAGCACAGGTATCAAGCACGAGACGCATCACGATCGCGACGATCGTCTTTGGCTCAGGGAATTGGCGCTCTTGATTGAGATCCCATCGTCGCTCCCGTCTATGCACTGTCTGTACATCGAAGTTGACATCATTTTTTAAAATAAACTCAATGGCAAAATGAATAGAATACGAGGTTTCTTTCTGGTCCGTGTGGTATGCACCGATGTATATGATGATCA